TTGTCGGCTTTCATTGGATCCTCATTGTTTGCGTGCTTCCACTGCCTAACAGTTAAGTATTGGGGATGAATTCTAAGACGAATTATTTACCTCCTAGTATAGGAATAATTCATTTTTATTCTGAACTATGAGTTGTCTTCAACTTCAAGAAACAACCAGCAGCAGTATGACTAAATATTGGGGAAATTTTCAAAGAGTAAGTATTTGCCTTGGATTACGTAGGACAACACTTGTATGCTAAAGCCTAAGGAGGCCTTGAATTAGGAAAATTTCAGTAAAATAATGCCACTATCAGTAAAGTTGTTTGGAAAAGCATTGCAGATCCTAACCAATAATGGGTGAATTACAGGGATAATATATAAAAGAAAAAAACATGTTGTAATGGTTGCCACACTAGTTCAGAGTACTAGGGATAGTGGATTAGGTGCAGACCTAACCTTCACATTATTTGCATGGAGTGGCTCAAACCTACATTCTCAAGTGAGGTAGCCCAAGTTTTTGGCATTGCACTAAGCAATGGCTTTAAGAAAATTCTTCACTATTAAAACTTCTTCTAAGGAAACTTTTGTGTGCAAAGTAATAGGTGACACAGTGAATCTTAAAGAAATAGGATACAAACACATTGATTAAAAGAAAATACTTTTGGCATATGAAAACTATAGCATATTTGACAAACATTACTTCTATTTATTTTTTTATTTTTTTGGAAATGGATAGATCTCATTAAAGAGCGCACAAAAAGGGAGCGCATTCCATATGTAACTTACAAGTCAAAATAATCAGCAATTGTATATAAGTAAAGTCCCAATAAGGACACGACATATAGGGTATACATGTACATGTTGAGGAATGTAGATATGTAAATGGCTATGTATACTCATTATATGATGACTCTTCTCCTACATTAAAGCATATTATCTTTCATGCATCACCTGGATCTACAGGATTTCCTTTATTAATGGCAGGGTTGGACGTAAGAGGACTAGCCATAGTATTTTGCGATTTGTTCTCCATCGTCAACAATTTCAGAGATATTTTTCTCAAATAATCAGACTACAATACAAAATTAAGGGAAGTTAATATCTCTTGAGCATATGACAACAAACTGAACTATTATTCATCCTAAGATGAAAGGCAAAAAATAGAGAATATATTTATAAGACCAAAGTGTACATTGCAACATGCATGCTAGAAAAATGAAGAGCGGTGTCATGATAAATATACCTGAATTGTTACAACAGTATAGATCTTTTCCTCAAACGTAACAGCAATTTGCTCAAGTTATTGTAGTCCATCTTGTCTAGAAAAGGGATGATGCCTCTTCAAAGTCTCCATTCTACGCACGTCAAACATTAAATTTCAAATGTTAAACAAACATAACTACTAACTACCAAAGATGTCTTCCTCACTTCCAAAGTGGAAAGTCAAGGGTTCAAGTCCTTTTATGGGCAACTAGGTGCACAACCACAAAAAAACATAACTACTAGTTGAGTAGAAGGTGCAGAGAATAATTTTTCCCACAACTATTTGGCAGCTTTGGTTGGAAAGGAGTATGAGTTTACATCAGGATAAAGCTAGGAATGTTGTTGATTTGGCTAGATCTATTTGGTGGGAGGTCATTGATATATCTGGCTGTCAACTTGGTGACTTGTGGTTTGATTGTTCTCTTGTGTGGTTCCTATTCCATGTGGCTTTTATTTTTATTTTTTTATTTTTTTATTTTTTGTGTTTCAGCCTTAGGATGTCTGTAATGTTTGATGTTTTGTAAATTATTGTTTATTTCCTTATAAAATTTTCCACTTTCCCAGGGAAAATAAATAAATAAAATAGAATTTAAGGGCCCTATTTGGTACTTGTGTAGCTTTTGTGGGTTGCATTCTCCATTTGAACGCTTTCTATTGTTATCTTAATTATCAAAAATAAATAAATAAATAAATATGATATAGGAAAGATTCCCAAAATCACTCATATGATTCGCTAAAAATCAAGAATTCTCTGGCCTTTTCGGAGAAAGCTTGTTGCGGTACAGATGCAGTCGAAGTCTACTACTCCGACCAGTCACCGAAGTCATAAACTCCGGTGAAATCCATTGCTTTTCTCATATCTGTGTTTCTCTTTCTCTGGTTGGGTTTGTTGTTGGTGTTTCCTGTGGTTTTCTTGTCTTGGGTTTTTGGCATGCGTTCGTTCTTGGAGGTTGCTAGGTTGCCACGTTTGTTCCAAGGTGGCTCTGTGAGATCTGCAAATTCGTATAGAGGGCCCTTGATTTTCTTGGATAACGATTCGGTTGGAAGGAGTAAAGATGATCATCAATCGTGTTTGGTTGGAAAGTTTGATAAGGAAGTGGGTGATGGGGCTCAAATTGCTGCTTGGGCATCGCGAGTTTGGAATGTCTCCTCTAGTGTGGGGGTCTCGTCGTTGCCGGATTCTCTGCTTCTCTTTCTGCTTCCTTCTCCGGAGGAGGCATCTTGTGTTCTTAAGTGGGTCGACATGACTGGGGAAAGGCAACTCTGAGTGTGGATGCTTGGAGTTTTAGGGTGGGGTGAGGTTCTGAAAGAGAAGGGGTTGAAGAAAGTTTCGATTTACGGTCTCCCTCTTCACCTCTGGAGCCATGCTCTGTTCGTGACGATCGGAGATTTGTGTGGTGGTTTTATTTGGGTGGACACCAATGAAACAATTGATGCTGAGAGAGTCCGTATCACAGTGTCGGATGGTAAGGTCTGTCCTTCGTTTGTGTTCATTCATGATGATCGGTTTTGCTTTAAAGTGGCTATTTGGGAGGAGAAGCCTCTTGAGCTTGTTCTGACGACAGCTAGTTTAGAAGGGGGTGATGGTTCTCATCTGCTAAAGGAGAATGAATGGTTGCGGTGGGAATCAACGGGGGAGAAGGGGATGGCAGAGTTTAAAAAATGGAAAGAATGGAGGGATGCGTTGTGGATCCGGAATACGAAGTGCTTTATAAGGTTGTTCATTCAGAAACGGCAGGAAGGTCCTTCTTTCATGACGGATCATCGCCGGCAAGCTGGGTTCCTACCGAATCAATGGGGTGGAGGTATCACCGGGAGCGGCCGTTAGTCTTTTTTACAGAGTTGGGATCAGAGAAGGCATCACGGTGATCTTTACGTGCAGCAAGCGCGTGGGTGGGGGAGGAACCTTATCCATATACGTGGTTGGTGTCTAGGCAATGCCTGTTATAAGAGGAATACAGTTGTACCCACGTTTTATTCAAATTCTACTCCAAATTCAGTTTCATTCGCTTGGGCTAGGAAGGGTCCAAAGCCTACTCGAGATGATGGGCCTGTTCTTGGGCCTGGGAGTGGGGCTTTTGCTGTTAAAGGATGAAAGATGTTTCTACATCTTTTGGTGGGCTGAGTGAGGGGCCTAAGGTTTGTCAGCCGGTTAGAAGTTTGATTACTCAACCATTAAATGATATTTCTGATGAAGGGATCTCTGGGTTGAATAGTGGGCTGGGTTCAATCCCTTCTTGCTCTGGGGTTGGGTTAAGCAACAGGTTTGGGCCTTTATCTTTATCTTCTTCAGTGGACGGAAGATGCTCTCAGCCATCTGGCTCTCTAAGCGTGAGCTTCAGAGAGGATCTACGGGGAAAGCTTACGCAACGTCATCGTCTGTCTAAGAAGAAAGTCCTCCTTCCTGCGCTTTGTAAGAGGTGGACTCGAAAGGACAAGCAGAAATGGGTGTTGTCTTCGCAATCGGGTTCTGATCCGGGTAAATCCACAGTTTTTTCTAGGTCTTCTACTTTCCATACTTTTTCTTCTTCCCCTTCTCCTTCTGTTAGGGATCCAATAGATCGTTGGGGTTGGAGAAGGGTGGGGTGGTCACTGTTTCCAATTCTTTGGCTCCGGTTGGTGAAGATGACTCGGTGTTTGAGTCAGATAACGGGCATGACGGCGGGTCTGTGAATGGGCTTGGTCTCACTCGACTTTCAGAGAATTTTGGTAAGGGTGTTACGATCTGTGTACGACGGGATATAAGGGTGAAGATTAATGATGCTTCTGCCACTGTTCTGTTGAAGGAGATTTGGGATCTTTTGGCTTCGAAATCTCTCCAATTTGAGGAGGAACCTGATTCACTGATGACTAATTGCTCCCTTTCCTCTTCTGTCCTTGATGATTGGGAGGGTGATGCTGGTTCTGCACCTGATGGGGATTTGGGTTTAGTTCAATGGGAAAACATTAAGCAAGCAGTGACTTGGTTGTTCCTTTGACTGTTGTTTATCTGGAGGGGGATTGGATGAGAGGTCCTTCTGTTACTGAAGAAGTGAATGATTTGGAGGAGGAGTGGGTAAGGGAGAAAAGGATGGATGTGGGCTCTCTGTTGGGAGTATCTTTTGAGGGTAGGGGGGATGAGGCGATGCGGTTGTTCTAGGAAGTTCTCAATTCTCAACTCAGGGAATGGGTGGGAGGTAGGGGAAGAAGGCAGGATGGGGTGGGAGAAATGGTGTTGCAAAATCCCACTGGTTTTATCACATATGAAAGGAGGAATAGGGGATCCAGGGAGAGTGATGACGGAAGGAGGGGAGGGTTTGCAAATTCTGTTGTTTCCCTATGAAGCTACAAATTCTTTCATGGAATGTCCGAGGTCTCAATAACTTAGTCAGAAGAAAAGTGATGAAGTTAGTCATTCGTACAGGGGGAGGTCATGTGGTGTGTTTGCAAGAAACTAAGCTCGCTTCGACGTCAGATAGGATGGTACGTCATCTTTAGGGTGGAAGATTTGTGGAATGGATTGTTTTGGATGCTGTTGGCTCTTCGGGTGGCATCTTGATCATGTGGGATAACAGATGGGTGTCTAAGGTGGATTCTCATGTTAGGAGATTCTCTGTTTCCTGCGTTTTTTCTTTGGCGGAGGATGGTGTTCCTTGGGTCTTTTCTGGTATTTACGGGCCTACAGAGGATAGCGTGCGGCATCTGCTTTGGGAGGAATTTGGGGAGGTTTGAAGACGATGGATGCTTCCTTCGACAGGTGGTAGGTGGACTTCTGATATGGAGTTTTTCTCAGAATTCATTGATGAGTTTAGGTTGATTGATCTGCCTCTGGAGGGAGGGCCTTTTACTTGGTCTAGTGGACGTTCTCCCCTTATTCTCTCTCGGCTTGACAGGTTCCTTGTGTCTGGGGAGTGGGAGGAGATGTTTTCTGATGTTGTGCAAGCTACTTTGGCTCGTCCTATCTCTGACCATGTTCCGTTGATGCTGGATTGTGGCGGGTTGCGGAGTAGACGCTCTCCATTTAGATTTGAAAATATGTGACTTCGGGCTGAAGGTTTCCTAGAAACGGTCCGATTTTGGTGGGAGGGTTTTGGGGTGGTTGGCACCCCAAGTCATTTGCTTGTAGGTCATTTGCGTCTTTTAAAGGAAAGTATTAAGATTTGGAACAAAGAGGTCTTCGGGAATCTTGTGTGGAGGAAAAATCGGGTTCTGGCTGAGATCGCTGATATTGATAGGATGGAGGGTCAAGGGGATCTGGCAGATGCTTTGAAGGTTAAGAGGGCGGAGTTTAAGGCGGAATTTAGTGAGATTGCGATCATGTAGGAGATCTCGTGGAGACAAAAGTCTAGAGCTTACAAGGAGGGGGACAGTAACATGAAATTTTTTTATAGATTGGCCAATGCTTATAAAAGGGGCAACCATATTGAGAGGATTCAGGTGGAAGGGGAGCTTCTTTGCAAGGAGGAGGATATCTGCAATGGCATTTCAGAGTTCTACGAGAAGTTGTTCACTGAGATTGTTGAGTGGAGACCCTTGCTTGAAGGGCTTCAGTTTGCCTCTATTTCTAGTGAGGAGTGCTCGGGTTATGAGGAGCCTTTCTCTGAAGAGGAAGTTCTAATTGCTTTGAAGACTTGTAACTGGGACAAAGCCCCAGGTCCTAACGGTTTTACCATGAGATTCCTTTTGGAGTGCTAGGAGGTGGTTAGAGGGGAGGTGATGGGTTCTTTTCATGCTTTTCATGCTCAGGGCTCTTTTGAGAAGAGCTTGAATGCCACTTTCATTTCTCTCATTCCAAAGAAGAAGGGGGGGGGGGGGGCGATGGATATTAGGGATTTTCGCCCTATTAGTTTGGTGGGGTGTTTCTACAAGTTGGTTGCCAAGGTCCTTTCTTCAAGGTTACAGAAAGTTCTGGATGGTGTCATTTCTGATTCTCATAATGCTTTTGTGGGAGGTCGTTAGATTTTGGACTCAATTTTTATTGCTAGTGAGTGTGTGGACTCTCGTTTGCGTAGTGGGGTCCCGGGTGTTTTGTGTAAGCTTGACCTAGAAAAGGCATACGACCATGTGAGTTGGAGCTTCCTTCTTTACCTGATGAAGAGGATGGGGTTTGGTGATTGGTGGAGGAGATGGATTCATTTTTGTATTTCCAGTGCTCGCATTTCGATTCTTGTGAATGGTGCTCCTACCGGTTTTTTCTCTAGCTCGAGTGGTTTGAGACAAATAAGAGCACTCTTCCCCACATTCACTTTTAAACCCGAAACTGCCTAAAAGTACACCAACAGCGACCTCAAATATCTCATCTGGGATACCTTAGCCTCACAAAAGACTAATGTATCATCTGTAAACAATAAATGAGAGATCTCCACAAAGTGATCATCATCCCTTCCCACCCTGAAACCCCTGATGAATCCCAACTCCACGGCCCTCCCCATCAACCAACTGAGCGCCTCCATAACAATAATGAATAGAAATGGGGATAGAGGATCCCCCTGTCGTAACCCTCTTGAGCTCCTAAAGAATCTCATCGGAGACCCATTAACCAACACCGAGAATCTCACTGTAGAAATGCAGAACTTAATCCATCTCCTCCATTTCTCCGCAAAACCCATCCTATCCAGCAAATACAACAAGAAATTCCAATTAACATGGTCATAAGCTTTATCCACATCCAGCTTACATAAAACACCTGGGCCCCCACTCTTCAATCTATCATCCACACACTCACTGGTAATAAGAGCTGAGTCCAAGATTTGTCGCCCACCTATGAAAGCGTTCTAAGAATCCGAAATAACATCATCCAGAACCTCCCTCAATCTCAAAGTGAGAACTTTAGCTATTTGTTGTAGATACATCCCAGCAAACTAATAGATCTAAAGTCCTTCACATAAGTAGCTCCCGCATTCTTAGGAATAAGGGCAATAAACGAAGCATTCAGGGATTTCTCGAACCGCCCCTGAGAATAAAAAGTATGGAACGTACCCATCACATCGGTCCTAACCACAACCCAGCTCTCCAGAAAGAACCTCATAGCAAAACCATCTGGCCCTAGAGCTTTGTCCCCATTGCAACATAACCTCCTCTTCAGAGAATGGAGTTTCCAACCCTATCCTACTTGCCTCCGAAATAGAATCAAAGTGAAGATCATCCAGCCGAGGTCTCGAAGATGTATTCTCCGTAAAAAATCCTTGATTAAAAGTGGAAACCCCCTTGCAAACATCCTCTTCCCTAATGAGCGTCTCCCCTTCAATATTAAGCCTCCCAATATGATTACCCCTCCTTTGTGCATTGGCCAATCGATGGAAAAACTTAGTATTCCTATCACCCTCCTTGAGCAAAATAGCTCTAGATTTTTGTCTCCAAGAAATCTCCTCTGCCATAGCAATCTTAGTAATCTCAGCCTGACAAGCAACCCTCCTACTTGTTTGCTCCTCACCAATCCCGCTTGAACCTTCCAAGCGATCAATATGTGCAATTTCTGCAAAGGCCCTATTCTTCCTCCACTCAAGATTCCCAAACACCTCCTTATTCCACCTTTTAATCTCATTCTTCAAAACCCTAAGCTTTCTAGCAAGAACATAGCTCAGAAAACTGTCAATCATGCTCCCTTCCCACCAGTTCCTCACATATCCTTGGAAATCATCCGCCCTAAGCTGTATATTTTTAAATTGAAAAGGTGTGATCCTTGACCTCATCTCTCCACAATCAAGAACCAAAGGAAAATGGTCCGAAACCGGTCTAGCCAAGGCAACCTGAATTGCATCCGGAAACTTCTCCTCCCAATCTCCAAAAATAAGAAATCTATCTAGACGTGAAAAAGTAGGTAAATTTCTGCCACTACCCCATGTCAACGTCGCTCCTTGTAACAGCAAATCATGGAGATGGTGGCCATCAATGAACTCCAAAAACTGTACCATAGCTGAAGTCCATCTTCCTCCTATCGATCGCTCCGCCGGGGATCTAACCACATTAAAATCCCCTCCTATACACCTCGGGCGAATCAATTGTACCCTCATAAGCCCCAGCTCCTCCCATAGAATATGCCTCTCCCCATCGTCTACTGGCCATAAACACCCGAGAACATCCAAGGAAACCCATCCTCCTCCATTACAAATGCACAAGAAATAGAGAATCTTCCCCTTTACACATCTGCTTTTGACACCCATCTTTTGTCCCACATCACCAAAATGCCCTCGGATGTCCCTTCCGCATTCAACGCCTCCCAATCAATAAATCTCCCCTACCCCCCCCCCCCCCTCCCCCCCCGCCCAAAAAAAAAAAAAAGCTTTTAACAACCCTATCAAATATAGACTCCATCCTCGTCTCCTGCAAACATTCCACATGCACACCCCACTTCCTCATTGCCAATTTTACCACCTTCCTCTTCTCCGGGTCATTAAAACCCTGGACATTCCACGTGACAATGCGGCACTTCATTAAAAACCTGATGATATCCCCTCCCCTCTCCTTCTCCCTCTTCCCCTCCTACTACTTATCTCCCTCCTCACCCCTTTCTTCCCCTCATAATTAACATCAGAGATAAGACCATGAATTTCCCTTCCCTCTCTCCATGGAAGTATCTCACTCTGCATCACAGTGATGTCCCCGCCTCCATCACCCTCCCCATTTTTCCCCTCCGCAATAGAATGTAACACCAATCGAGCCACCTCCTTATTTGGCTGAAAAGAGACACCCAATCTACTGCTCACAGAATCAATGTTCTCCTTAACCCATTCTGCCCTTACATCCTCACAACCAACATCTATAAAGTCCCTCCTACTCCCATCCGGCCACAATTCAGATAACGGTTGCATCATCTCCAATACATCAGTCTCTTCCAATGACACCATCTCCATACCCTTCATGTCGTTGTCCTCCCCCATCCTGCGTCGACCATCCTCAGCCGAAGAAACAGGTTCATTTCCCCCCATAGGATTAATAGCATCCCCATCAAAGTCAGTTCCCACAGTGTCAGAGTCAAAGTCCAGAAGTCGGTTCAAACCCTTCAGCCTTTTGTACACCTGCAGTTCCTTTACAAGTACTAATGCGGCCTCATTACTCAATTGGAACCTTGTATCCCTTCTAACGTATACCATTACAATTCCTTAAAGGCGAAGACTTGCCAAATAAGAAATTACCTAATAGAATACAACTCTAAAATAGATTCCTAATTAGAATAGGAATTTGAGACACAATTTCCAACAATCTCCACGTTGGCTCAAATTCCATCCAGCCAATCATCGCTTCCCATGGCATTGATCTGGATAATTCTTTTGTAGCTTCAATCTTGATGATTCTCCTACAAAACTCCGATTTTCCACATTATACGTTGCTTAATTAGTCAAACCTCTAAGCCTCCACCTTGACTACTCGAGCTCCATGCTATGTAACCAAGCCGATTGATTCCACCTATAACTGAAGCCTGTTGCAGCTCATGTTGAGACTTTTTGTGTTTTCTGGATCACCTTCACCTTTGGCTCTGATACCAATTTGTTGGGGCAGCGAAAGCACGCGAACAATGAGGATCCAATAGGTTGATTAGGGTTTTCTTTGATGTCTATTTATATGTTGGTTCAAACATTGGGAAAGTCAGCTTTTGATGATTATTATTGATATTGAAATTTGAGATTATCATGATTTCTTCTCCCTCTGATTTCTTCTTCTCCCCTGATTTCTTTCCCTCTTTTCTTATTCCCTCTCTCTCTCAATCTTGTTCTTATTCTACTTTAATTCTAGTTTCGAATAGCCCTACCCGCTGCTGCATCAATTGGTATCAGAGCAAAGATCCATAAATTTCTCTACTGTTCACAACAATCAAACCACACTCTACTGTTCACGCAATCAAACTCGTGTTGTTCAACCCTAAAACCCTAGCCACCATTGCCGCTGCCATAATTCATCACGACATCATAGTATTTACCCATTGTTCAGTGTAATCTTAACCAACTGATCACTGTTATCTCAACCAAAACTCTGATTACTGCCACCCCTCCATGACAAACCAAACAACTGTAACCCACATCAGTCATCAAACACAGGCCGTCTACAAACCTAGCACCAATCCCAACATCAACCCTAAACCCAACCAAGCCAAAAAAAAAATTACAAATCCACGCTTTTAGCCCTCGCCATTGGAAATCCTTGTGTGATTGTCATCATCAACAATAGCCGTAGCCGGAAATCAGTCGCAGTAGTTTTCTCTCGCTGTCACTGCTGCCATCCTCATGTCATCCAAGCCTTGCGTAGCTCGTAAGTCTAACTTCAGCCAAGAACTTTGTGCACTCTATTGCAACTGTCACCAAGATTTCAGCATTATTCTGGAACGTCAACTTTGGAATATTTATTCACCAAAATTTTAGCGTAACTGATTTTGGAAAGTCAACTTTGGGTTATTGCAATCTTTGCAATCCTTATTAGCACCATAATTTTAGCACTACTATTTTGGAAAGTAAACTTTGGATTATCCCGTCTGGTTTGGAAAGTTCAGATTTGGGTTTGGAAAGGATATATTTTGTTTCCTTATAAACCAGATTTGACCAAACTCAAATTTAAAATAGTCAGATCCACCATTTAAGGAAGTTGCAGATTGAGTTTTTAGGCCCAAGCTTAGCCCAGTTCAGAAGAGACCAGATTTCAGAGCCACAACAGAATAGTTTAGCCTGTTCAGTAGCATACTGACCCCAAAAAAAAAAAAAAAAAAATTCCTACACCAGTTCCAGCAGCTATTTTGGGATAATCTTCAACACTTGGAGAATTCAATTGGGATCTACATTGGACTTTGGAAAAGGTACATATACTTCAATTAAAAATTGTTATTAGTACTTTTATCCATTCGATTAGTATGGAAATTTGCAAAAAGGTCCTAACTGAACCCATCTAAATTTTGAACCCCTTTGAATTGCCTCAGTTGCACATTTAATTTTAAAAAAAAAATTCTTTTCATTGTTTCCACTTTATTTTTACACCTAAATACCCACACCAGTGCATGACTTCTAGCATAATTAATTTCATTTGCATTTAGATTTCTTAGTTGTGCATTGTTCTAGTTTATAATTTAGTTTACTTAATTCAATTTGAGTCCTATTTCGGCATTATTCTCAAAACTTCTTATGTCTGCACCATTCTATTAAGGCACAAAGATGTTAAAAGAGAACGTCGTGTTATGTCCCCAATGGTTGTGTTCGCCAATCAAGACTAAGAGCGTTGAGCATAGGCCAAGCTTTCTATCACACAAAAATAAAAATGTTTGGTGTGAAGATGAAAGGGAAACAAAAATAACCTTGAAAATAAATTCTGAACAACAACTTTTGAAAATTGAACTATGCTTTTTCAACCTCCATCCTCAATCAATGAGCTCCTTTGGTTGCTTACCAAAACTGATCACTTGCTTTGCAAAGTAAACCAGGACCCATGTGCTTCAATGCAAGCTGCACTCTCTCCAATAATGAAGGCTTTAATTGCTAAAGAATTTTTAAAGCATTCAGATTCTGATGTTAGAGTTGCAATAGCCTCATGCCTTAGTAAGCTAACAAGGATTACAACACCAGATTTTCCCTATAATGATGATCAAATGGTAGAAGTGTTTCACGTGATTATATTATCTTTTGAAAATCTATCTGATACATCTAGTCCATCTTATGGTAAAAGGGTCAAAATCCTCGACACATTTGCAAGTGTCAAGTCATGTTTGATAATGTTAGATTTGGAATATGAAGAATTAATTGTGTAGATGTTTTGGTACTTTTTAAAGGAAATAAAGGACCATCATTTAGACAATATCTTTATATATATAGAGCAAATTATGACTCTTGTATTAGAGGAAAGCGACCATATCTCAGTAGAGCTACTTCGTCCTCTTCTAGCTCGTGTTAGAAAGGAAAATCAGACTATTTCACCTGAATCTTACAAGTTAGGAGAAAAAGTTTTGAACAATTGTGCCACAATTCTTAAGTCTAGTCTTTCAAAAGCTCTACCATCCATAGTCCTTTTGTCCATTGATTTTGCTGAAGTAGTCACTTTTGTTGGTCAAGATGCATCTGAAAAAGAGTCTATTGTGTCAAACAAGGATGTCAAGTACAATAGTAATTTCTGGAAGACACTTTGGACATTCTTAGAAACAAATTTGAAGTTTCCTTTTGCATCTTGTCCTTTGAATGATAGAAAATTTGAGGTTGTGAAACAAGGTCTAAGAAAGTTGGTTAGTTTTCTTACTAACGTGCACCTAGACATTTGGAACTTGTTATTGCCCATTATGGAATATGCCTATACAAGTTTAACAAATCAATTTACTGGCAATTATTTTTTTGAGATTGTCTACAATTCATTTCCATGCCAGTCCATTGATTATGTTCCTTCACCTCCATGTGTGTACTCACTTGAGTTTCTTGATTCCTTTATTTAGCTTGTTCACAATTTTCACGCCGATATGTGACAAGAAATTGTCTCAAGTAAAAAGAATTATAAACTTGCTGCATATGCTCATAATAGGAATCATGAATTTAATGAAGGAGATTATGCTATAATTTGTGCACTACCTCAACCTTATCATAAAAACTCCTTCCATATGAAACATGCCAAAATTGATAGACTTTTCCACATCATTCAAATTTAGGACCTAATGCATAATTCTTTGACTTGTCATTGGATCTGAGTACTAATTCAATTTTTGATGTGGAGTATTTGTTATCTGATCGAGGCATGCCTCCTATTTTATTGGCATGTGTTCCTATAGGTAGATTTACATTTTCCTCAGCACCGGCATTAGTTCATCTATCTTTTCAGTCGCATTATATGGATTGGACAAAGGATATTGTTGATTATCAGAGTGATGGCCCTCATCTGGGAGATATTGAGTATTACCTTGTTCGATGGAAGGGTTTTCTAGTTTTAAATATCAGACGGAGTATTGACCTATACTTTTTGGAGATATACTTATGCATTTACTCTTCGGAGGAGAGTTCTTCTCAATCGGGAGGGAATGATGAAGAACCGGGTCAGCCCGAGAGCTTGAAGTCCATACGGCTTATGCCTATTATTGGAGACGTGGGAAAAAAAGATAGAATTAGGGATTTTTGTTTATTTATTATTATTATGGGATATTTCAGCAATTTAGGGTTTTATTTATGGTAATAGGTTGATTAGGGTTTTCTTTGATGTCTATTTATAT